CCTGTCCCGGGCAGTGCCCCCCGTGTTCTGGGCAGTGCCCCCCGTGTCCTGGGCAGTGCCCTCCATGTCCCAGGCAGTGCCCCCCCTGTCCCGGGCAGTGACCCCATGTCCCAGGCAGTGACCCCATGTCCCAGGAAGTGCCCCTCATGTCCTGGGCAGTGCCCCCCGTGTCCCAGGCAGTGCCCCCTGTGCCCTGGGCAGTGCCCCCCGAGTGCTGGGCCCAACCCCAGGGTTTTGGCCTTGCAGAGAAGCAGAAGCTGCGGGGCAGCGACTACCCCCTGATCGCCCGTGTGCTGCAGGGCCCCTGTGAACAGGTCTCCAAGGTTTTCCTCATGGAGAAGGACCAGGTGGAGGAGGTCACCTATGACGTGAGTGAGCCGGCACGGGGTCGTCGCTCCTGGGGGGGGCTTGGGAAAACTGGGGGATCACAGAGTCATGGAGTGGTTTGGGTTGGAAGGGACCTCAAACCCACCCACCCCCTGCCATGGGCAGGGACAACTTCCACTAGCCCAGGTTGCTCCAACCTGGCCTTGGACACTTCCAGGGATCCAGGGGCAGCCACAGCTTCTCTGGGAGTTCCATCCCAGCCCCTCCCCACTCTCACAGCCAACAATTCCTTCCCAATATCCCATCTCTCCCTGCCCTCTGGCACTGGGAAGCCATTCCCTGTGTCCTGTCCCTCCATCCCTTGTCCCCAGTCCCTCTCCAGCTCTTGGAGCCCCTTTAGGCTCTGGAAGGAGCTCTCAGCTCTCCCTGGAGCCTTCTCCTCTCCAGGTGAACCCCCCCAGCTCTCCCAGCCTGGCTCCAGGGCAGAGGGGCTCCAGCCCTTGGAGCAGCTCCGTGGCCTCCTCTGGACTTGCTCCAACATTGGCATCACTGGATTTTTTTCTTAGGAAGGGCTGTGTTTTGGGGTTGAGGAGATTGCAGGCAGGCTGGGTCTGCTGCCTTCTCATAGAATCATGGAATCATGGAATGGTTTAGGTTGGAGAGACCTTAAAGCTCATCCCATTCCACCCCCTGCCATGGGCAGGGACACCTTCCACTAGCCCAGGTTGTTCTGGCCTTGGACACTTCCAGGGATCCAGGGGCAGCCACAGCTTCTCTGGGAATTCCACCCCAGCTTGTGACCACCCTCCCAGGGAAGAATTTCTTCCCGATGAACGGATGTCTCCATGTGCTGGGACTGCAGGAATTGCTTTGCTCCTGCATCTTGCCGTGAAAACTCCCCATTTGATGGGAAAAGCCTCGTTTTGTGCTCAAAGAGCAGCTTCCAATTCCAACCCAGAGCCAACGCCCCCGGCCCTATTGTGTCATCCCAAATCTGCTCACGGGAGAGCGATTTCAGCGCAGCCTGTGGCGGAATTGGTGTTTTTCCAGCCGGGAAAGCTCCACTGTGCCATCTGCCGGCTTCCCAGGGCTACTCTGCTCCGAAATCCCAGCTCAAGCGAGGCACTTTTGGGGTATATTTGGGCTTAATCAGCTCTCTGCGACGCTGGGGATGCTCAGGGCTCTGACTGATCGAGCCACGTCTTCCAGCCAGTGGGTAAATTAAAATAAATAAATAAAAATTAATTAATTAATTAATTAATGGAGAGGGGGGAGAGATTGTCCCGGTAATTATCCAGCACTTACTCATTTGCACGAGTTAATGTTCACACTGAGCAGAGGAAACATCCCTTTTTTTTAGGATTCTTGCAAAAACTGGGGAATCCTTGACTAAAATCCAGGGAGAGGACGCTGCCTTCGGCCTCGCAGGGTGGGTTCATCGCCCTCTTCATCACCTTTCTTGCCGTTCCTCTCCCATCCAGGTCGCTCAGTACATCAAGTTTGAGATGCCCATCCTCAGGAGCTTCATCCAGAAGCTGGAGGAGGAGGAGGATCGTGAAGTGAAGAAGCTGATGCAGAAGTACGTCAGGCTGGTGGCCCGAGGGGGGATGTGAGAGGGAAGGACATTGCTGGGGGGCTGTTTGGTCCCAGAAATTCCTTTGTGCAGCCCTGCACCCCTGATGTGTGCAAGAGCCATTGGGGTTTGTGTCATTCCAGGGTTTTCTTGGCCATCTCACTGCTGAAAATTCCTCTTTCCCTGTGCTGTGCCTCTCCAGATACACCATCCTCCGGGTGATGATCAAGCAGAGGCTGGAGGAGATCTCGGAAGGTCCGACTGCGATGTGAGACCCTTCAGCAGAGCCATGTGCCTGTAGGATGTACTGTACCAAATCCCAAAGCCCCAGCATTCCCAGCACATTCCCAGCGTCCGCCTGGATCGCTCCAGCTCTGAGCCAGCCCATCCTCCCGTGCCTTCACCTGCGCAGCGTCCCCGGGAGGTTCCTCCTCGGCACCTGGGGCTCTTCCCAGCAAGGCTCTGGCTGGTGGCAGCTTCAGCCAAAACCTCAAATCCCTGGAAAACACAGGGAAAAACAGGGGGAAAAAAAAAAAAGAAGAGAGAGAGAGAGGAAATCCATGAGCAGCACAGTGAGGGCTACAGGTGTTCCAGAGCAGGAATTTGGGGCCGAGTCTGGGGACACCCACACAGAGGACCCGCTGCTCGGTGGCAGGAGAGCACCAACAGTTATAATTCCTCTTTTTTTTTTTCTTTTTTTTTTTTTTTCCCCTTAAGAAAAGCACATTTCTATTGCAATAATTCGCGGGTGATGGGAAGTTTTCGTAAATCCAAAGTGTTGACTGAGATTTTGGGGGGGGTTTAACCCTGACCTGGTGGATTTACAGCACAGGAGTAAATGGCATTTTTCCGTGTGTTCCCCAAACCTGCATCTGGTGGCGTCACCCCCTCCCTCCCCCTTTTCTAATTTGCACTAATATTAGGGATTTTTAAGGAAATCATGATGTCAAACCTCTCTGGGTAGCTGTAAATGCCAAATAGCACTCGCAGGGATAGTTGGGGGCATCTCAAGGGATGCTGGATGGAAAGGGAGGGAGACAGGAGGAGGAGGAGGAGGAGGCAGAAATAAAGAGGATTTTATTTTCCAAATCCATCTTCCAGTGGTGCCAGCACATTATCCTGGTGAAACCAGGCTGGCACTGTTACCACCACCACCTGGAAAAACCTCTTTCCTCCCAGGCTAAACCAGCAATATCAATTTTATACCTCGATGTGAACTAAGACTCTGACTTTCTCCCTCCCTTTGAGTTTTTGCAATGTATCTTTGTAATTTTTTTTTTTTTTAAGTGTTAATGGTACCTTTTCCACCTCTAACACGTGTTCAGGAAAGTGTTGTACAGCGAGAGGAGCCTTTTATGTGTTTGAAGGATGATTGTGGCATTGCTGCGTGGATTAACAAGAAAATAAAATATGTAGCAACTTAATACAGAATAAAACCCCTGAGTTGGAGCCTGGTTTGTCAAAAATAAAGCAATTTGTGGATAGAAACACCTTGGGAATGGGTTCCATGGGGGCTGGGAGTGATGAGGGAGAAGAGCAAAACCTGCCTGAGTCCCAGTGGAGAAGCTTCCCAAGGAGAAATGGTCCTGCCCTGCAGATTTGGAGACTCACAACTACATTGCTGGAGGATTTGGGGTAATATTGGGCTGTTTTAGGGCCCTTCCAGCCTTCAGTGACTATTTATCCCTATTTATCCCTATTTATCCCTATGCACCGTGATCGGTGAGCTCCATCCTCTGGATATTTCTCCTCCACAAGGTAAAACTCCCGATGTATTTAATTTTTTTTTGTCCTCCTGCACCCCCCAGGTCATCCCAGCCACGCTTTG